GATGATTTTATTTTAAACTTAACTCAGTGAGAATTAACATCTTCTCCTGTTATTACTTTAATCGGAGTGAAGAAATATGGCAGAGGAATCCTGCTTCTTTGTTACTTTCTTTGTCTGAGAACTTTCACTTTCTACTTTTCATTCACTATTTTTAACTGGTAACAAAGTTTCAACAACGTAATAGACTTGGTTTATTTAAAGAAAATTCTTCTTTTTAAAGGGGAAATTGCTTTTTCTTCTCCTTTATTCCTATTTTATTATTATTATTATTATTTTAAAAAAAATGGCTTCAAAACCTCCTGGACCTTTTTCTCTTCCTAAAACCTCAATTTCCTCTCCAGTAACTCAGACTGTACAACAATCTAAACCTAAATCTTCCCCACCTTCTCCTCCACCTCAGGCAATTACACTTAAGGATTTACAAAATGCTTTGGATAAGACTGTACAAAAAACAGCAGAGCTCCTGGCTCAAAAAAATAATGAGCTGAGGGAAGATATTGTGTTTGCACTTCAGGGGTTTGCTAGTCTTGTAGAAAAGATTGATGACCGTGTGGATGAGGTGGTTGGTAATGTTACAAGACAGAGTTGAAAAAATAGAAAATAATGTGGATGTTGCACAGAATGAAATTATAATGTCACAATATAGAGAAATGGCGTATTCTTTGAGAATAAGAGGCTTGAAGGAAAATGTTCAGGAGAATTTGAAAGAAGAAATTGCAGCAGAACTGGCTTCTATTTTGGAATGTGATCCTGAAGGAATGTTGAGAGATATAGAAAAGATCTTCAGAGTTAATTCGTGGGTTGCAAAACAGAGAAAATTACCAAGAGATGTGGTGGTTTACTTTGCTAGAAAATCACTTCGTAATGGAATTTTACAGGCTTTCTATAAGCAAAGATTTCAGATTGCAGCTCAGGATGTGATAGTTTTAAAGGAAATATCTTCAAAATTTTCAGAAAAAGAAAAGACTTTGCTTTTTGGCTGAAGAACTTAAGAAACGACAAATTCAATTTAGATGGGATATACCTGTGGGGATAGTGGTGACCTATGTTGGCACACAATATCATCTTAATACAATTTCAAAAGCAAGAGATTTCTACGTTACTGTTTTAAAAGGAGGTTAACCACCATCTCCAAGATCAAAAAAGGATGAGAGCAAGGCAGAAGCACAGTTGGCTGTAGGTTCAATACCATTTTTGGGAGAAGAATTATTGGTTGAATCTATGCAACAGAGTTTGCAAATAACGGAAGACCCAAAGGAACAGAGAATTACACGTGCTGCTCATAAAGGTAGATAAAGAGAACAACAACAACAGCAACAACAACAAAAGGTAGATGATGGAGTTTCATCCCAGTCTACTTCGGAGCCAGTGGGAGGAGCAAGGCCAAAGAGGTCATCGACTGCAAATTTAGAGGTTTTGTTCCAAAGGCTTCAACCTGCCAAGAATGGCAAAGCTTCTAACCTGGAATGTTAACGGTCTCAATTCACCACAGAAAAGAAAGAAAGTCTTTCATTATTTGAAACAAGACAGAAATGATATTATTTGTTTACAAAATACTCATATTATTTCTAAAGATCAAAAATATTTGTTTAACCCCCAGCTGGGGGTACATTTCACAGCTCCTGCTTTGCAGAAAAAAGGAGGTGTAGTTATTTATGTAAGAAAGGAGCTTTCACCGAAACTAATTGATTTTGATCCACAAGGAAGATATGTCATTATTGATTTATTAATAAATGATAAGAGAACTCTTCTTGTTGGATATATGCTCCCAATCAACAACAAAAATATTTTTACAAGATGATTCACCAGAAATTAATTTCTTTGGATTACAAGTCACTTATTATGATGGGAGATTGGAATGGTGTTTTAGATTCAAGTAAAGATAAGAAGGGTTCTTCTAAAGTCTCTGATCATGCAAGACTTCCTAAAGCTTTTTTTGATTTAAAGGATGATTTGGAACTTAGAGACATTTCGAGAGAACGGAACATTGAGGAATCCTAGACTTACAATTGACCAACGTGATGGGATTAATGGTTTAATTACTTCTGAAGAGATTATTTCTGCAATTAAACAATTGAAGGTTGGCAAGACTCCAGGTACTGATGGACTAACAGCATTTTATTATAAGATGCTATCTGAAGAAATGATAGAACCATTAAAGAAACATTTTAATGACATTTTGTCGGGAGCAGAGCTACCTCCATCTTGGAGAAGGGCCTTCATAGCATTGATTCCAAAGGAAGACCAGGATCTGTCCCAACCTAGAAATTATAGGCCTATATCTCTTTTAAATACAGATTATAATACTTTTGCAAAGATACTGGCAAATAGATTAATGCAGGTTTTGAAACAATTGATTCATACTGACCAATCTGGATTTATAATGGGAAGATATATGAAAAATAATGTAAGACAAATTGTTAATTTAATAGAATATTTGGATAAGAACAACTAAATCCCTGCTGCTTTAATATTTATAGATGCTGAGAAAGCTTTTGATAATTAGATTGGAAATTTTTATTGAAAGTTGTAGAGGAAATGAACTTTGGAGATAAATTTTTGTGTGCTCTCAAGGCCATATATTAGCAACAATTGGCACAAATTATAATTAATGGGGGATTAACAGATGTATTTAAAATAGAAAAAGGTATGAGACAGGGTTGTCCCTTATCCCCCTTGCTATTTGTATTAACAATGGAGATTTTACTTATTAAAATTCGAGATTCATCTAGATTAAAAGGAATAAAAATAAGTAAGATTGATTATAGGCTGAGAGCTTTTGCTGATGATTTGGTTGTGACGTTATCCCATCCAACAGATTCGGTCAGAGACTTGGTTGAAATTTTAGCACAGTATGGACAGGTCTCTGGTTTTAAGGTGAATAAGAATAAAACTAAAATATTATTGAAAAATATGTCTATGAAGGGAAAAAATATTATAGTTGAAGCAACATGTTATGAAGTAGTTAATAAGGTTAAGTATTTAGGAATATATATTACAACATCTAATGGAAAATTGTATAAAAATAATTATGAACGCTTATGGGTAAAAGTACAAAAAGATTTAAATGATTGGCAAAAATTACTATCGTTACTGGGGAGAATTTCAGTAGTAAAGATGAATGTTCTACCAAAGTTTCTTTTTTTGTTTCAGATGATACCTATTTTAAAAAAGGATGCTAATTTGGATGAGTGGCAGAAGGGTATCAATAAATTTATCTGGGGTGGGAAGAAATCAAGGGTAAAGTTTAAGATTTTACAAGACGCTCAAGAAAGAAGTGGACTTAAAGCACCTAATTTGAAATTATATTATGATGCGGCCACTTTAACTTTAGTAAGTGACTGGCTTAATTTAACAAATAAAAATATTCTTACTCTTGAAGGTTGGGATTTATTATATGGTTGGCATGCATATTTAATTTTTGACAAGAAAGTAGATCTGGTTTTTAAGTCACACATTTTAAGAAATGCTTTACTTCGAGTTTGGAAGAAGTATTATTATAAGTTAAATTATAAAATACCTATTTGGGGGATTCCTGGACAAGCAAGTCGGGGGGCTTCTAAGGGGGTGAATTTTGATAATATTTCATATAAGGAATTACTTATTTGGTCGGGTACTGACTGGCAACTAAAGTCTTCAGATGTGCTAAGGCAAGAAAATAGTTTACAATCATAGTTTCAATATTTTCAAATAGTCGAGAGATGGACTTTAGATAAGAAAGTGAGAATTATTTTAGCAGATGAAAATTTGGTAATTCAGATTAAAGATCAGAAATATGCTCAAATTAAAAGAATTTACAATGAGTTAATAAAATTGGATTCGGAAACAGAGTTAGTAAAAGATTGCATGATTAAATGGGCCCAGAATATTCAGGAACCGATTTCATTGGATTTATGGGAGGTAATTTGGATTAGAAAGGTTAAATTTACGCAGGCTCAAAATTTGAGGGAAAATTTTTATAAAATGTTTTATAGATGGCATCTGGATCCTAAAAAGTTGTCTTGTATGTACCTGAACCTGCAACCTAAATGTTGGAGATGTGGTTGCTTGGATGCAACCTATTTTCATGTTTGGTGGACTTCTAAAAATATTAAAGCCTTTTGGATTATGATTTGGTGGAACATTCAAAAGGTTTTTAAAAGGAAGATTAAGTTTACTCCCCAGTTATTTCTTTTGGGTATTTTTGTGGATTTTGATAGTAAAGAAACTACTTTAATGTTGAATTTAATAACAGCAGCAAGATTGCTGGTGGGTCAATATTGGAAGAAAGACTCTCTGCCTTCTTTAGAAGAATGGGTATTTAAGGTTTCTAATTTAGCAGAAATGGCTAAAATTTCTGCTTATTTAAAGGGCCATTCACAAGAGAGATATTTTATGGTATGGAGAAGATGGATAGAATATGTTCAGAAGAAATATGGAACTACAAAGTTTCATTTATTTTATGAGTAATAGATTTGTTTATAAAATTATGATGCTAAAGTTTGAAGAGAGTTAAGGGTTAGTATGATTTTGGTTATTGTATAATTAGTAAACTTAAATAGATTATGTTTAATATGTTTGTATAACCCTTCACTTGGCTCTGGGAAGTCGGGAGGGAGGGGTAGGGGTAGGGGGGAGGATGGGTTGGAGGTTAAATAGCTCAGATAAGTAGAAATAGTTTCATTGTATATAATATTGATGTTTTAATTTGGAGAGAGGAATTGCTCGGGCATTTCCCCTGGACTGCATCCGGAATGAGAAGATAGGAGGAAGGGGAGAAGTAAGTAGGAAGGTTGAGGAGAAGGAGGATAGGGGGAGAGTGAGGAAGAAGAGAGAAAGAAGGAAATGAGAGAAGAGGTTAGAGGGTGGATGCGGTTTGGGAGGAAATGGGTGAGCAATACCGAAAGTTGTGTGTATAAATTTATTTTATTCTTTATCTGAAGTATTTTTATGAATGTAATGTAAAATTGAAAATAATTTTTTTTACAAAAATAAAAATAAAAAAATGTTATTGTTTTTAGAGAATGGGAAGAAATAGATGAAAATTACAAAAGCTACAGTAGTATCTGATGAATGCAAAAACACAGATAAACATGCAGGTATTTTATTTTGTTGTTACTGTTGACAATACATGTTTTTTATAATATGTCGGAAAAATATGTACAGTAAGGACAGTTACCCATCAAACCTTGTAAACAGTGCCTTCCTGAATCTCCGATGGAATTCCCTGACTCCAGTGCAGAAAGAAAGAGAGTGAGAGTGCTGGCTCACATGGAGAGGCAGAGGGGAGCAGCCCGGCCCCGCGTCCCTCTGGGGCGATGGCACGCATGCCCACAGAGATAACTCTGCTTGTTACCTATGGCTCGCATGCCATAGGTTCACCACCATGGGTATAGGTTCTCCTGCTTGAGCAGGGCATTGGACTAGAAGACTTCCAAAGTCCCTTCCAACTGTGCTATTTTATACTCTGTAAATTATGGGGGGATTTTTTGTTTCTCTCTTTCCTCCTCCTGTGATTATATCATAGTTTTCTCTTTCTTTAAGATGTAGCTTATACAAGAAGCATTTTCATGTTTTTCTTAATAAAATTACTTTTACTTCAAATACAATTAATATCTATTAGTATTTGCTGAGTCTATATACTCTATCCAGGACTACTATATTTTTTTTGATTGTTAGAGTTTTGTAATAGAGCATCCTGCTACTTTATTACTCAATTGTTTTTCAGTACTCTGCTTATATTCAGGAGCATATTCTTTGGTAAGCCATCCTGCTGAATTCAAATCTCCAACATGTGCAGCATGTGATAAGCAAACAGACCAGCTATTACTTCAGTTTTGCTGTCCTTCTTCTCCAGCATATTACCAGCAAGCAGGAGAGCATCTGTCAATCACAGCAATGCAGCAGCCACAACATAGATGGAACTCTTCTGGGTTCTCCTCTGTCATAATTGGGTTGAATATAGGTTTAAAAAGTTTTGAATCAGAAAGTGAGCTGAACCACAATTGGAATTTTACTTAGGATTTATTTTACTTTTCCTTTCCGTGCAAAGATAATAAATGACAGGTTCCATGTTTCTATATGATCTGTTCATGAGACAAAAGGAAAATATTAGGTTATCTAGTTTTATTTCAAGCTATAACGTAGGGTTTTTTAATATTTAAAATTCTGTTATTTAAGAAAACAACAACAAATTGTTGCAGATAAGGATGACTAGGACAGGGCTTTTCAACCAGTGGTACGGGTACCGCCTGTGGTACATTGGCACCTGACCAATGGTAGCGGGGGAGGGGTATGAGCTGAACCAATGGCAGCACTGCACAAACCTGAATGAGAGATGGCTGGAGCTGCAGGGCTGTCAGGGCTCAGCGGAAGCACCAGGATCAGTGCCACTTTCCAGCTGATCGGCGCTTCTTCAGAGCTGTCAGGGCTTAGTGGAAGCACCAGGATCAGCGCCAGGCTCCAGCTGGAGCTCAACGCTGATCCTGGTGCTTCTGCTGAGCCCTGAAGAAGCACCAACCAGATGGAATGTTGCAACATCTCCAGGATCTTGTGATTTACATTCAGATGCTTGGCAACTGATTCATATTTATGATGGTCACAGTGTCCCAGGGTCATGTGAAGTGACCAAAATCTGCTGCAACTACCCAGCAGACAGAGGGAATAAAAACCAAACACCCCCCCCACCCCACCCTTGCTGCCAGTCCTCAATAGAAATGCTCATAACAATAAAAACCTCGGACAGGAGGAAGAGCACCACCGGGTGGGCAGACAGGTGTCTTGCTCAGCTGTGCCTTGGGGGCACTTTTTTCAGTGCCATTGTAACTTCAAACAGTCACTAAGCGAACTGTTGTAAGTCAAGGACTACCTGTACTTTATCACTTTTTTCTTTTGGGAGGGGGGTCATCAAGTTTTTGACACCTTGCTAGGCAACTGGTGGTACTTGGATATTGCTATAATGGGTGAAAAGATTGAAAAGCCCTGGACTAGGGAGGAAGCTGTCAGACCTGCCCCAATCTGATCCCTTAGGAAACAAAGACCCTTGACACCATTTGGTTGAGGTTCTTTTATTAAAAGATGTTGGCTGCAGTAAAGTGAGGCTAGATCTAAGTTTCCCACATGCAAAAGATATAGAAAAGTTTCTCCTCATCCCAGCCCTCTCCCTATGATCTGTCCATCTTCAGCCAATTGGAATTCGCCGAGGTGTTTTGAGAACAGTGAGATGTTTTGGGGTAATCCACATTCTTTCTCAGGGTGCCTGGCTTTGGATGCTGTACAAACTGGTTCCAAACTTCTCTGATCTTTATCACCTGTCATTCCCCCTCCCTATTTCCCATCATGTACACACACAGCTTTATTGTCTATCCTCCCCCCTCCCCGCTTTTAGCCTTTGATGGCAGGATGCCTCTGAAGTGCCAAGCTGAATTTGGCAAACCTGACAGACATTTTCCAGCATCAGCCCTAAATGGCCAATAAGCCCCTCTCTAATCATATCCACTATCTATCCCACCCTAATTTAACAATCAGTGGAATTATTAATAATTGTGGCAATCTTGTAATGGTTATTGGTTGCTGCCAATTTAAGGTTTATGATTAATAGACATTGAACACTACAAAAAAGATCCCATTGGGGAATGTTTGCAGCATGGTTAGATGCAAATTGGAAAAGATAACCAGAGATTTAGAGTTGTATATAATTTAGAGTTGTATAGAGATGTCTTGAGGAAAATAATGGCAATCATTACTAAATAAGATCTTAGCCTAGGAAAACAGGGAAATATGGGGAAAATTTGCCCATTCCCTCCTTGGTATAATAGAAGGGAAGAGAAAATACTATTAGGCTCCCACAATTCAGTTATTATAGCCCAGTGGTGGCGAACCTATGGCACATGTGCCAGAGGCGGCATTTAGAGCCCTCTCTGTAGGCATGCGTAGCATGCCCTGGAGATGGCAACCATCCTCTTCAACCAGCCATCTCTAACTCGCTTAGGTCCCACATTGCCAGATGCATCCCAGCATCCATGCGCTCGCTGGCCTCTGTGTGCAGGGGCCGATGGTGTCAGGCAGCAGCCGTCTTGGCTCCTGCCTCACCTTGCCCTGCAACAATGGCACCCTCATCCTGCCTCACCTCGCCTTGCCTCCCCTCACCCTGCAGGATGAGCTTCCTGCCCATTGCCCCACCCGCCAGAGACGCCCTGGATCTCCCCCAACCCTGCCCTGCCGCCACAGATGTCCCCCCCCGGAGCAACATTGAGCTGGCCACGCCCACCCATCTGCATTGACCACCGTAGCCACACCCAGCTGGTCATGCCCACCCAGTGGGCCACACCCACCCAGCAATACATAAGTGGGTTTTGGGTTGCAGTTTGGGCACTTGGTCTCTAAAAGTTTCGCCATCACTGTTATAGCCTATATCAAAAGTAGTTATAATATTTCTTGTGATGATAATTGGTAATATTGTTGAAGAAGGAGAGGTTCACTCATGCAGCTCATTTCTTGTGGGAAAGCTTAGAGGGTTTTTCCCAATAGTATACATTCATTTGTATTGATCATCCCAGGGCTTTTTTTTTTTTGTCATAAAGTGCATGGAATGGCATTCTGGCACCTTTTTTCAACGGAATTTGTGGAACTAAAAGAAGTCAGACCTTCCAATTTCTTGTGAAAAAAAAAATCTCACAAGGAGTTGGAAGGTCTGACTGAACTTTTTTTAGTCCCACAAATTCTGTTTCTCTGCAGCAGAAGAGAAACACACAGAGCTGGAAAGCAGGCTAGCAAAGAAATGCTTTCGGAGAGAGGGAGGAGCTGCACCAGGAGGAGAAACGGCAGGAAACGGGGCTGCCATTTCCGGAAGGGAGAAGGGAGACATGGGGCAATGCAGGGCAGGAAGCAAGTGCATCCCTGAGAAGAACTATTGTGTTCTCCATTCTCCATGAGACAGGTGACAAAGGATTGGTGGAGTGAGGCGGTGAGGGAGGCTTGTGCCACCTGGTCATTGTGCAAGCTAAGGGAGAGTTGGTGGAGGACAAGGAGGCGGCGGCTGCGTCCAGGCAGGTGATCTGCAAGGTGAAGCTTAAAGAAAGCCCTTCCAGAGCACACGGCAGCAGCAGAGCCTTTCACTGTCATTCCCCGCTGGCTCCAAAAATGGCAAAGGGGGACCAGGCTTACCGCACCCATCCCATCCACATTAGCATGGCAACCCGGCTCGGGAGGGGAGTGAAAGGTTGCCAATCAAGGAATGACCTGGCGGGGAGGGGGCTGAGTTCCGGCACCTTTTTTTTTTTACAAAAAAGCACTAGTTCATCCAATAGTGGAACTTGCTTTATTAGAACAGAATAGATTACAAAATGCATCATTCTGGCAACAGATTTCAGTACTAGAAACTTGGAAGGCTACAAGAGTTGTAAAAATTACACAAGCCCATCTGGAATCCAATTTGGACATTTCTCTCAGTACTTGAAGCACATTTGCTCCACTGTATCACTCATTCTGTATAGAATCAGAATTTTAGTATCAAATGTGGTCCAGAAATTCTAGGTTAGAAGGAGAACTATACTACAAACTATATTACAAATAATTTTTTGCTAGCACTCTGAACTTTGAAAATATGGGCAGACATTGCATAACTTTTTCATCTCATATCAGTTCATATGCTTATCAAGATAATTCTTGCCAATCTTTTGCTATCTTCAACCATCCCTGAGAAATGTCTAACTGAACTAAGCCCAAAGCAGGTTGATAGTTTTGCATAGATTTTGGAATTCTCTAGAAAAGAAAGGAAGACACCTGAATCATTTCTTTATTAATATGTATTGGATCTTCGAAAAATATTTATTTTCAGGAAACAATTTAAGATATACATTTAATTGTGCTTTTAAAATTCTATTTTTATACAGGATTTGTTTTAATTACTGGTTTATTTGTTTCAGCCGTCATGGTAACGACAGATGTTACTCTTCAAAGAACTTTGAGGCATTGTTTACCTTAAAGAATCTTTATTCAAAATAACATGGCATTGGTAAGTACATGGTCGAAGCGAAAATCTGAATTCTCCTCCCCTAAGCCCACAGTATTGGAGCACAATTCCATCCTCCAATTAACAGTCATAAATCACATTCCCCAATTAGTTTGAAATGCAAACTTTCCCTCCAGTTTCATAACCTGCCATTTTTTTTCTTCTCTTATTTCAAACAACCTTGAAGAATACTCTACTGTGGTATTGTTATGTCTAACTAATCCCCATACACATTCTTCAACCTTCCCCACCCCCCCAGCACCATCTAATTCTAACTCTAAAAGTAATACTCAGGTTAAAGAGAAAATGCATATATACACTGCATAAATGCATCTTCATATATTGTCAAAGCAAGAACATCTGATGTTAGCAGCATTGACAGCAGCTATTTTATAAACTCTTCAGGAATAGGACAGGAAATGTATCCCTGACCCTTTCAGTATGTATTTATTGGATATGGCAGATTTTTAAATATTTGGGGGAATTGACTGTGAACAGCAGGGCAATATATGCACAGATCTTTAGTTAATTTTTTGCTTTTTATTAATCAGTGCTGAGAAAATCAATTGTAATTATTTTGTAAAAAGTAATCCTCAGTCAAATATAGTTATTGCCATGAGGAGCTGTTAACCAAAATATTTTTTTGTCTTTATGGACACACTCAGGTTTCAACTTTACTGACAAATTATTTAATAGATGGTTCTGTTTGTAGCAGAAATGGCAATATGTGAATCTTCGTTTGATTTCAAAAGTTTGCTGTAAGAATCAGTTCAGATCTTTGGCAAGAACAAATGTACAGTATTCCTTTCTAAAAGGAATATATACAGGGAAAAATAAAAAAAAACGAATGAGGAAAAAACATGCAAATATCAGAGAAAATATCTAACTACAATATCTGTTGAATTCTGACCTCATCACCTTTAACAAGCACCTACAGCAGATTACTGCTAGGGATATGGATTTTAACAGAAAAAAGTTTCATTATCTCCTGTTTTATGGATCAATTACAAACATTGGTCTTTTGGTTTGCTTTGATGAACAACCTAAGGATATTTTGGGGCATTAAGGTAGCTGGAGTTATTGTGGAAGATATTTAATTCTACTCATAGTTAACAGTTTTCTTACCAAAATTAGTGTTTCATTAAATCAATTTGAATCAGCTTGATAAACTTCCTGCACATTGAAAACAGATAAATAGTGGAATTAGTTTTAAATTTCGATATGTCAGAAGTATAATATTTTGGAGGGATTATAGGATACATGTTTTGTACTGTTCCATCATGATCCTGTTTTTACTTTAATCCTGTTATATGATAGTGTGAAGAAAAATAAGATTGAAATGTGTTCATGTGACATCAAGCTCTATGCCTCAAACTCTGAATGTTTTTATCATTTTTATAAAAATAAACACCCAAATAATTTTATTTCAATGGAAAAAATCTGGTATACCAAAACTACCATATGACATTTGTGGATTGATCATTTGTGGTCACTCTCTAGCTATGGCCTTTTTGTTGACAAATTGGAAAGATTCACTGTTATTCTTATATTTAATATATTTAATATGTAGTTCAAACATTTATGTTATTATATAATTAAGAAATTAAATATATTTACAAAACTAAATATTTAATGTATTTAGTTTTGTAAAATGAATTCTAAATAGATCGATTCAATATGAAATTATCTTAATTTTGATTTTTCAAGCAACATATTTTTTTCATTATGAATTCCAGTTGGTGAGGGGGGAGCTTTGTTGTTTCAAAAAATTTCTGTGTTATGACTTTTCTTATTTATTTTTCCATTCATTCAAGAAGAAAAAACTTTTCAAAATAATGTATTGGACACATACAGACTAAATTCACTCTTCCTATTGAAATGAAACAAACCTGCCACCTTGTGTACACCTCTGTTTGATTCATTTAAGAAATCAACTGAAGTTTAAATACTTCAGTTACTTAATATTTGCTGATTGTCACAATTTCCATATCAAGAAATAGGAAATTAACATTGATGCCTTAGAAGATATAGCCAACCCTAACCCCAACAATGAGCAATTTGACAGAAATGTCATACATGCTTTGTAAAAACCTATAAAAGTAGTCCTCAGGTTGTGATAGCAGTTGGCACCGGCATTGCTATCACTCAGTGGGGGGTGGTAAAATATGACGTTATGTGACATTACTGAGCAATGGCAATCTAATTGTCTTTGTAACTCCATGACACCCAGGTTGTTAAGTAAGAAGCTGAGGGAATCCAAAAGACCCAGATAGAGAGGTTGGAAGGGGAGGGGAGGCCCTGCAAAGCCCCACACGGGCTATGAATGACTTGGGGAAGGGAATGGTATAATACAACACAAGCTCAGGGAGGCCAGGGAATGAAAGTACAGATGGGTTCATGCCTAGGTTTGTGAGATACACAATAAATGTACATGTTGTAATTTTCCATTTCTGCTTAAGGAATAGGCATGTAGAGGCACAGCTAAGGTATTTTTAGAAAAGATGTAATAAGCTGGGGGAACAGAGAGGGACTATATACACCGATTCAAAGCATACTTTTAGAATAGTGCACACTACTGTAGAATGACATATAGTTTATGAATGACATAATATCCAATTTATATAAGGGTTATTCTTTATTCAAACTAACTAAAGTTGGTATTTTAAAGTATAACTATTATATGAACCAAAGAACAGCTATGTTTAATCGAAGCATGAATTATGTTACATATATAACTTCTGGATGAAAAACGTGCACTCTTACAGGAAACATAAATAATTTGCAATTGTTGCAATTATCTAGTTTAGGTAGTCAGGCTCATCTTTATATATAGCTTTTCCATTCTCCCTTAATTCTTTGTTAGCAATCCAAATTTTATAATATAAATGATGTCGCAGTTGCAACTGCTGCCTGTGGATGGCTCTAGTTTGAGCTGATACAAGGCAAAAGATTTCTTTCTCCCATATTTGGGTCGACAGGGTGCATCAAAAAGCACTCAAGTTAATTTCTCCCCCTGTCTCTTCCTCCCTGACACAGCTGATAAAATGAGAAAGAGCCTGTGACCTAAAGTTAACACAGCTGCTTAACATGCAGACAGCCCAGGTTCAAATCTCAGAAGGGTATGTCTGGTTAACGAAAACTAAACAGTTTGAAATAGCTATTCTATTCTCCCTTAATTCTTTGTTAGCAATCGAAATTTTATTATCTATCTATCTATCTATCTATCTATCTATCTATCTATCTATCTATCTATTTATCTTTGGTTATTCGGGTTTTCTCCCACATAAAATTAGGATGTTACCAGTTCAGAGTTCTACCCTTTGGCCTTCAAGGGGCCCCTGCAGTGTTCATGCAGTTAATAAATGATGTGCTCCGTGAACATCTGTCCTATATAAAAGAGTGCTTGTTTACATGGACGATATCCTGATATTCACTGAAACAAAGGAGGAGCACGTGAAACTAGTCAGAGCACAATTACAAAATACCTGGCTGGTTGCAAGAAAGGCTTTAGATGAGGCTAGGGAAGGATATAATTCCAGGCAGATAGGAAATAAAGTGAACCCAAACCATTTCAAGTAGGAGAGAAAGTTTACCTGTCTACAAAATATCTAAAATCCCTGCAGCCCTCAAGCTAGGACCAAAATTTGTGGGACCTTTTCCCATTAAAAGAATAATCCTGTCACAGTAGAATTGGAGCTCCCTAAGACAGGTTCACCTGATTTTTCACTGCAGCCTTCTGAAACACAAACTGCAATTGCCTTTAAGGCCAGCTGCAGCTCCCTCCCCTCCTCCAATCAGGGTAGAAGGTGAACAACTTTTGAAATAAGGGAAATTCTAGATTCCAGAAAACACCACGGTTCCACCCAATATCTAGTAGTGTGGAAACATGTGCCTTCTTCCCAGAATGAGTGGGCTCAAAAACGCATGTTAGAGCCCCCAGATTAATTAGTAAATTTCACACTGCCTATCCAGATAAACCGGACTAATCTTTGCCTCCCTTTTTTCTGTTTATTTTTTACAGGTGGATCTTTCTTTTTTCTAATGGGGGGGAGCAGGATGTCAGAACCCTTTCCTTTTCCTGGGGGGAAGATCTATTTCAATTCTATACATTTCTTTTTGTGGGATCTGCCATTCTCCTGAGGGGGAGGGGGGAAGACTCTCCGGTATATTTTTCTGCTTTGCTACCATATATCCCTTCTGCTGTTTTCTTCATGCTTACTCTTTGAACTGTCTCTCCTTTGATGTCAACCTGGGGTGAGAAAGGAATGTGCCTCCAGCCATCTGGCTTATCTTTCACTGTGGAAGGGAAGGTGCGAAGCCCTAACAACATCTTCACAAGCATGGGAATGGACCCCGTTATCAGCGGACAACACCTGGGGATTGGCTTGTTTAAACTGACCAGATGAACTATTGGGGTGAGATTTGCTTGGGAATCTTTTAACCTATTGATCTGAACAGGAAACCCTCAAATCCTGGCTTCTATGCCTGCTATCAGCTTCTAATAAAAGTTTCTTTCAGTTCCAAGAGTCCTGCTTTCTTGGGATGAGGTTTTGAAGTGGGCCTTGACAGGGATCTTGGAGTCCTAGTGGACAATCATTTAAATTTGAGCCAATAGTGTGTGCCGGGATCCAAAAAAGTCACAGCAATCACTGCATTAAGGGATAGAATCAAGATCATGTGAAGTTCTAGTACCACTTTACAAAGCCTTAGTAAGACCACACTTGGAATACTGCATTCAGTTCTGGTCATCATAATACAAAAAAGATGTTGAGACTCCAGAAAGAGTGTAGAGATGAGCAACAAAAATGATTAGGGGGCTGGAGGATAACACATATGAAGAATGGTTACAGGAGTTGGGTACGTCTATTCTAAAGAAAAGAAGGACTAGGGGAGACATAATTGCAGTGTTCCAATATTTGGGGGGCTCCTACAAGGATGAGGATAGTAATAGTAATAGTAGTAAAGTTGGAAGGGACCTTGGAGGTCATCTAGTCCAACCCCCTGCTCGGGCAGGAAACCCTACGCTATTTCGGACAAATGGCTGTCCAGTCTCTTCTTAAAAACTTCCAGTGTTGGAGCATTTACTGCTTCTGGAGGCAAGCTGTTCCACTGATTAATTGTTCTCACTGTCAGGAAGTTTCTCCTTAGTTCTAGGTTGCTTCTCTCCTTGATTAGTTTCCACCCGTTGCTTCTTGTCCTGCCT